TTTCCCTAGATTGTAATGTGATCATGATACTTCCATTATCTTTAATATTAAAATCCCATTGTAATACAAAATCCAGCACATGATCTAATTTTAAAGTAATACCAGAAGTACTAGTTTCTGGTGTTGCAAATTTCATTACATGACTATTAACATGTTTGTCAAATACTCTAGGTGCGATAGATCCTTGAGGTATAATCCATTCTCTTTTAACTTTATCTGAATCTTCTATCATTTTTTTATGAGGCTCTGGTTCTGTTAAATTTTTGCTGTAATGTGATAATCCAAATTGAGCAATTTGTGTAGGATAGTAATATCCTTGACTTTCCCATTGAGTAGATATTGGTACTCCATCATTTCCACTAATACATTTAACACGCTCTCGAACTTCAACATTGTAATTCTCAAAAGTCATAAATACTCCTTTGGGATCATATTTTCCTTTAGGATTAACAATTTTGGAATAACTGTGTAACCACTCAAATCTTTCTAAACCATCATAGGTTACTAATTTTCCATAAATCTGATATACATTAGAAATATTAATATTTTATTACTACTGTTTTATTTAATTGTAATATTTACCTCAAAATATGTATGAATAAATGAAAATGGTATGTAAACTTCGTCTCCTTCTTTAAGACATCCAATAGAATAGTCACCATTTATATGACAATCTATTTCTTGATACCCACTTTCTATGTTTAGTCGATCCTTTATATAAAAATAAGTTAAGTCATAAATAAACATTATTATTATTTTATTAATTTCTTGTTTTAATTAGCTAACTTGGAAATACAATATGAAATACAATATACATAATATACTAAAGTATTTTAAGAAAATATTCATGTATATTACATTTATTCATATGGTCTAAATCATGTTGACTTACTTTATGTTGAAATTTTGATTTCCAATCAGTGTTTTTAAAAAATGATGGACTACCACAAGTGTTCCATGATGTCAATACAGAACTGAACACTGCGACTATTATTACAAGTAATACTGTTTTAAAGTTCAACCTCATCATCCTACAAAACCTGTTGATTTGAATTAAAATATCTTTTTACAAACAGCGTTATAATTGAAATATTTTATAAAAAATAAATAATATTTATGTTGTATAATGCTTACTTACAAGGTGTTATTAAAATTTTTCTCTTACTTTTTATCAACAACAGCTTGGATTAAAATCGCATACCATGTTCTCCATTTTTTAAAACTATAAATATTCATATATTCGCATATTCTGAAAAGATGCAAAACCAATTCTTTAAAAACAATAAGAAAGAAATGACATTGCTCAGTGACAGCTTTTAAAACGTATACACGTGTTCACCCGTTTTATGGAAATACACTTTGTGTTTTCCATTGGGGTCTTTCTGTGTTTAATCATCGATGATTATCAATGTCAAGAAGTGTTTCATACATGTTATTTGTGTTATTCCTACCTACAACCAAAAGCTGACGTTATGTCTATTTTCGTTATTTGTATGGACTATTTCATAAAAAACAAATGCATGCATTTTTGCTTATCAAATAGTTTCAGAGGCAATACATAAATTCCCTAGAATTCGTTTTGGAAATATTAACTATCAGTCAAATTTTAATAGTTTTAAGAAAACTTTATTATAATCGAGAAATTTGAAGAATATTTTTATCTATACATCAATTTTCATTAAATCCAAAACATAATGAGCTTTAATGTATTACACGATTATTCATTCTTTTGATATTTATCATGAAAAACTATTTTCAATATTTCTTAATATTTTAAAATTTTATATAAAATAAATAATAAAACCTTTTGTCATATTCACTTGATTACTAATAATATTTAGAGCTACTAATTTCTACTTTTCATCTGAAGTTCATATCACCAGTATTTTTAGTTTATTCTTTATTCATATTTAGTTTAAATCTATGGAATTAATTATATTTTTTTATGTATTTTTTTGATTTCTTTTATTTATACGAAATTATCTATAATTAGACAAAAATACTTCTTTTTTGCATTGTATATATATAAGTTTTTGCAATTTATAGTTTATAGTAGCGATTCATAATTTTATAGTTGAATGTTTCTTTATATCCTGTTCCCGTGGTGATCAGTCGATACGTATAACTCCATCTGTGAGTCGTGATACACAATGGAATGTTCAATATTACTTGTGTACTAAGGAAATTTATAAGAGATGGAGCTGAGAGGAATATTGAAATATTGTTAAATAGGTATGTGCAATACATCCACAGGGTATTTTGAATTTGTATATATTCGAAATAACCATTAATATGCTCGACTTTGAGCGTGAAAGGAAGACATGCATCATTATTAAACTTCCGTTTTTTAGCGTTCCGCAAAGTATGCGCTGATACTCTTGTCAGAAATTCTTTTACTTCCTTTCGTTTGCATAGTATTCTTCTTTTTGCAATATTTTAGTCTAATTGAATTTCGAAGAAAATGTAACAATGTGTATATAATGCTATATATATTAAAGAATTTTTACGCTAGCGTACTTCGCTCGCTACTGTAAGTTATAGAACCATATTCCGATGTCAATGGATCCTGCTAATGTATTATTATAATATTAGATATGAAACTTTTAATTTTTAGAAACCAGTCAGGTTAAGTTACTGCTAAGTAATTAATTGAGGCATAATTTCCCTTGTGACATGGATCTTGTAGCATTTGAGTCACAAGTACGAAGAGATTATTCTCAAGAATGTTAAGTAATATTTGTAGTTTATGAAATAGTATATGTTGTGTAAATAATCTTTTTTCTTATGGTATTATTTAATCATGTAGTTAATAATTAACATATAACAGTTATGAGTAATGTAATAGATATAAAAGTTTTCTTGATATACATCTTTATTAGAGAATAAAAGTATGATTTATTACCTTATGATATAGTTTAAAAAATAAAAATTGTGATGTTTCTTGTTTTTCTCTTATTACAGGATTTGGTCCAATTGGGCTATGAGCATAAATAAACATAATAAATAGTTAAACTCAATAATATCAGGTAAGCAAATATAATGTTTGTTTAGTCAATATGTCAGTTAACTGTTTGATTTTCTTATAACTGATATATTACAATAATACAGTTATTTCAAATTATTAAAATTATTTGTTTTGAAGCTTTGAGTTTTAATACCTAAGTTTTATTATTATTATTATAATTTTACTAATATATTGCTAAACTATAATATTAAAGGACATTAAAATTTTGTATCTTTATTATTTTATTTATTTTAAAATCTAATTAACATCAGTGCATTATTCATTTTTCTCAAAAAAATTTAACAAAAGGATTGAAGTAAAGGATTATATAATGATTAGCAAAGTTTTAAAGTATTTAAACAATATATAGGTATACAATGGAAACAGTAAATCAAGACAAACAATTTCTTCCTTCACGGGGTTTGAAGCAAGTGAAGGTAGATAACTGGGGAACCTTCTTCCTACAAAGACTTCAACAACTTTATTTTGAAGAAGAACTACTTGATCTTACAATTAAATTTCCCACTAGTGATATTACTGTTCAGGTACTGATTTTATATATATATTTTTTATATATACTTATTATAATTAAAAAATTATAAATTATATTAA